AATCCGAATCAGAATCAAAATCCAAATCAAAACCATTTACAACTCCAGTGAGCAACATAAAAAAAGAAGCGAAAGACTTTTGGGGCCGCAATATTTGTAATCAAACGCAGTCATAATAATCAAGTCGTAAAAAACAAATCCATTTTCGCGCTTCAATGAACGCCGAGAGCCAGGAGCCAGGAGCCAGACTACAGCCAGAGAGCTGTAAAAACAATAATAGTAATGGCAGCGGGCAACAACGTTTTTACACCTTTTGCAGCAGGAGCCGCCAGAAAGGATCAAGGATAACAACGACACGACAGCGACAACAACGACGACGCTGACATTCGATAATAATAAAGGCCATACTTTGTTTTAGCCAAAACGGCAGAGCGAGAGAGAGCGAGAGAGAGAGAGAGGGAGAGTGGTGCAATCGACATGGCCATAAAAAACAAATAGCTCAATGACTCAGGCAGAGTTTTATGAGCTGTGTAGTCTATATACATAGATGGAGGATGTTAAGATCTGCCACAGGAGCAACCTGTACATATTTGCGGTATTTTCCACATTTTGTGGAGAGGCGTTGACAAATCTGTGACTGGCCCCATTAAATGGCCGTAAAAATCAAACAGTAAGCGCTGTAAATTATAATGTAATAGAAATATAATAAGCGAGTTCATCTCGATGGCTGGGATAACAACGCGCGCATCGTAAAATCGGCGAGCTCGTAAAATTCGCCAGGAAACGTGAAATGAAAAGCCCGGCGCTAGTTTTCACACCAACTTGGGCCGAGCCGGGACTGGTAGCTGGGAGCTGGGAGCTGGGAGCTGGCATCATTACATTTGAGTGTTTTACAACTTCCGTTAAGTTTGCCGGGGCTATAAAGCGTAATCTTCATGTTTTTATTACAAGGATGCGGCCACCCGCCCAGCAGCCCGAATCCTGCCCGACCCAGCTCGACTGGCAGCTGTGCTGTCAATGTGGCAGCATCGAGGACATCAAATTGACAGCTCCTTGGAGTCGTAAAACTCCTCACTGTGGACTACTACATATGTTGTTGGCGCCCCTTCTCCTGCCAGCCCGCCTGCCCGCCAGCCTGCCTGCCCGCCTCCTACACTAACTGGCAACTGGGGTAATGATTGTCACCGGCTAAACAATTAAATTGAGGTTAGAATGAAACATAAAAAGCGCATAAAAAGGACATAAAGTCCGGAGCAGACGAGGCGACGGCCAGCTATGCGAGTCCCGACGATGTCGTCAACGCATCGTAAACGCTTTAAGCTACAGTTTATATCCATTTCGAAAGGATAACAGCGACAACAACAATGACAACAATGGAATTAACATGACCTGTGTGTGCGATCTGTGGCCTCGTAAAACTTCTACTGATAAGACACTCGCCGTTGGTAATGATAATAAAATTATAATTTCGCCTCTGCATATGCTTGTCCCAAAGTGTCTATGTGAGTGGCGATAATGCTGGGATTCGGATTCAGATTCCTGCTGCCTGGGAATAGGACTAGCTATGCTCCGCCTCACGCCTCACGCCTCCAAGCACTTGACTCTGGCATTTCGGTTTTAGGGCCCGCCGCCATGTGAGAAATTGTAAATTGCGCTAATAAGCATTTAAAATTAACTAAATGCTCGACTCTTGGGCCAAGCCTGATGACTTGTGGATCGGGGTCTGGGCTATGGGTTCTGGGTTCTGGGCTCTGGGTTCTGGGTGTCTGGTTTCCGGTTTCGGGCATGTTTGGATTGCTCTTCAGCCGGGCTATAAACTGTGCAAAGTCGTTAGACGAGCTCTAAGTGGCGAAGAGATGCGTTTTTCATGTTCGCTGTGGCAGTAAATGCTAAGAGTGTTGGCGATGCTCCCGATAGCGAGTAGTCGAGCCAATCGTAATGGATTGGCTAATCCAATTGGCCATTTGGCGGGGCACAGTTGCTAGAGTGGAGCATATGGGCATGTCAACACATTTTATTAGGGTAGCTGCTTGGACTCGACATGGTCTGGCCATTATGGAGCTCTTATATAATTTAGGAACTATCCCGGGCTGGGCCTAAGGCTGAGATAGTTTGCAATAATATTCCAGCTTCCACTCAGAGTAATAACATTTATGGTTAAATAATATTTAATCTGCAATAAATAATTTCACTCGACTAATGAAAGCAGTAATGCATGAATGCTTCCAGGCGATTATTCACATAACTTAAATAATCACTGATTGGCCGATGCTAATCTAACTAAATGTAAAATAGAAACTGAC